GAGGAGGAGGAGGAGGATGGGGGGGGAGAAATCCGCGCGGACCTCCGAGCTTTTATGCTTATGTAATTTTTCGTTCCCCTAATCTAGCACGCCGTGCATTTCTGTGACAAGACCACACGGGGTAGCGGATCTACTTGCCTTCGGCCAATCCCGCCACCCTGGGTCGTCGACAAGAGGCCTGTCAGAATAGAAACCTCTTGGGGTCTCCTGGGAGGCCTCTTGCGAGCATCCTGGACACCTCTTGGGGGCCTCTTGGAGATCTCTGGGGGCATCTCAGGGCCTCTTGGCTGTCTCGGAGGTTATGTTTGGGGAAAGGGCTCGAAATGTCTGTTCGAGTTCCCCCTCTTGGGCCGTTTTGGATTTTTTATCAGTGCCGCTTGGGGCAATCTTGGGGCCCTCTTGGGCCGTCGTAGGCGTTCTCAAGACCGAAAAGCAGAGGACGCGCAACTTGTACAGGAGCGTATGTATGGCTTCTCAGTGATTGTGGCCTCGTCAGCTAGCCCCCAGGTCTTCTCAAACGGCCCAAGATACGCCCAATAGGGCTCCAGGACAGGACATGGACCATCTCAGGCCGTGTTGGACGTTTAGATTCCCGGCCGCGCTGGCAAAGCCACGCGAGCCACGCAAGAGCGCCCCATAGCGCCTGGGAGCTCCAGGAAACCTGGCCCCTCCCTGGGGCCCTCAAAGAAAATCACCCGGGCAGCGAATGCGACAGGGGCTCTCCCTCTGCACTCCCAGAGGGCGCTCCTGGGCCCCGGGAAGGCGCAGCCCGTGCCGCCCGAGCGCCGTGCCGTGCTGCACCTCGCCGTGGCGTGCCCGCGTGCCGTGCCGTGCGCGTGCGGTGCCCGAGTTCGGGGCCGCGAGAGGCGTGCCGTGCCGCGCCCCGTGCCCGCACGCCGCGCCGTGCCCGCGCGCCGCGCCGCGCCGTGCGCGCCGCGCCCCGCGCCCGCGCGCCGTGCGCCGCGCCGCCCGTGCCGTGCGCGTGCCGTGTTTGCGCTCGGAGGGCGCGGGAGGACGTGCCGCGCCGTGGCGCGCCCGCCTGCCGTGCGTCGGGGGCGGCAAATGAGGGGGGTCGTCTTTTGGAGGCCTGGGAGTGGGCACCAACACCAACATAGGGGGCCGCCTCCACAGGGGGGAGATGATCCTAGAGTTCGGAGTTGGTGGTAATATTTCGGTCCCCTTGGAAGCCAGAATATTACCACCATGACCGAGATTGGGATCATCTTCCCTTGGTTGAGGCACACCGCCGATACTGGTGTTGGTGTCAACCTCTAGGCCTCCGAATCTTGGCGGCCATCTTGGGCCATCTTGGAGCCATCTGGAGCGGAGCAATCCTTGCGGACTGGGTCCTGCGGAGCTTTCGGGGTAGCCAGCCGGTTAGGCCGGAGGCCCCTGGGAGCACCTAAACAGGTTTCAAACCAACCCAACGTTTAGTTCGGGGGCGGCAGAGAGGGGGGTGATGACTAGGGGGGGGTGGATGTCATGGCGTGGGCCAGGATATTTCCCCTGATTTCATGGCGCCTCTTCTCATTTCATGACGTCCCTGGCCCCCCCCGCTGGGCCGCGCACATGCCGCCGGTCATGAATTGCACCCCCCCCTCTTGGACACCCCCCTCTTGGCCGCTCCCGAGTACTGCCCGTGCCGTGCCCCGTCTTCAGACACCGTGTTTCCTGATGCAGCGCTGCTGTTTAGGTTTTCTCTATGTGCTGGTGTAGTTCGACTTGCTCAGCGCAGAGAGACCGAAGCCTCTTCGTGCCTGCGGCACGGTGGCGGATCTCGTCTCGGGCAGAGCCGAGGGCGGACAATTAGCTGCCCCGACCTCCATCGGGACAGGTCTCCAGCCGGTTTCAACGCCCGCTCCGCGCGCGCCAGGGAGTTCGACCCAGTCGACGCGCTCGCGATCCGCGGCCGTGTCTTCGACGCGTTCAGCTCCCAGCACCAGCCGCCAGAGGCCCGGACTTGCGCGCAGAGCTGTCAGACTGCCGTCTCGGTCGACGCCCAGGATCCGCGCGCGACCTGCTTGCATCAGGAGGGGAAAAACATACAGACAAAATTCATCGTCGATGCCCCAGAAAATATGGGAAACTATGGGAAGTGGGAGGAGGCAAAAACCTATAAAATAGTGGAAAATATGGGGAATCCGGTTATAATCGCTTCGCTCATTCCGCCGGCCCTGCAGCGCTACTTGCGGCCTCTTGGGGCCGTCTTGGGGGCTTCTTGGGGGCTTCTTGGGAGCGTCTTGGGGCTCCTTGGCGGCGTCTTGGTCTCCCCTGGGGCCTCTTCGGGGGCTCTTGGGGGCCCCTTGGGGCGGGAGGGGGGGTAGTCGATTGCAGCCACCCCCTCGGAGGCCACGATCCTCGTGAGGGGTGGCGAAAAATAGCCTCCCCCCTGGGGATCGCCCAGGACCCGGCCGGGGATCGGCCGGGCTCCTCCTCCTCCTCCTCCTCCTCCTCCTCCTCCTCCTCCTCCTCCTCCTCCTCCTCCCTCCTCCTCCTCCTCCTCCTCCTCCTCCTCCTCCTCCTCCCTCCTCCTCCTCCTCCTCCTCCTCCTCCTCCTCCCTCCTCCTCCTACTCCCCCTCCTCCTACCTCCTCCTCCTCCTCCTCTCTTCGTCCTCATCATACTCCTCCCTACGCCCTCCTCCTCCTCCTCTTCCTCCTCCTACCTCCCTCCTCCTCACTCTCCTCCACTACTAGTTCTACCTCCTCTCCTCCCTCCTCCTCATCCTCCTCCTCCATCCTTCCTATACCGCCTCCTCCTCCTCTCCCTCCTCCTCCTCCTCCTCCTCCTCCTCCCTCCTCCTCCTCGGGCATGCAGACATGGTGCGGTGCACGGGCGCCGTTCTCGCACACCAAGCGGAGGAAAGTCCTCCTCGACCCCCCTACCTGGCGTTGACTGCACAGCCTTGGGGCGTACATTCAGAACAGCTCTGCCCTGTTCGGTTCCTGCTTCCTTTGCAAGTACGTCGACTACGGCACCGCCTGATCCCGAGGCTTTGCCTCCTCCCGGCCTCGTTCTGAGGCTGCGCCCCTCTTTTCCTCCTTCATCTCTGGTTAGTTCAAGCTTCGCGCGGCCCGCTTAGCTTTGACCGGAAGAGGTGCGCTCTCGACCCGCGAATCAAAAAACTGTTCGGTTCCTGCCCACGGTGCGTCCACGGAAGGGCTTCGCTCGTCGGAGTACGGATTCTGAGGGTGGCTCTGCCCTCTGGCAGCGTCCATGTCGACCCGACCGAGCTGATTCGGTATCGCTTCTGGCTGGCTCGATCCGCTTTGATTCCGACCTTCGACGAGCCGCTGCGGCCCGATGCTTGCCCTGCCCTGGCACTGCCGCGCATCCTGGCCCGGCCGATGCGATTCGATGTGCTTCGATGCCGTGCCGCTGCGGCTTTTTTTCCCCTCCGAAGTTGCAGTTTTTTTTTTTGCTGGGAGGGGGAAGCGTCGGGGCGCCCCGGGCCTGCAACTGTGGTCCCCCCCCCCCGGAGCGGACTTCTTCTCGTCCCGAGTCGTTTTTTCGACAGTCCCCCAGGCGGGAGGACGGCCTCCACGGACCGAAAAGTAAGAGAAGCCGCTCGTCGCGATCGGGTGGATGCGCTCGGCCACGCGCAGAAGCGGGGTAGGCAGGGGGGGAGGGGGGAAGGCTGCTCAGCAGCACCCCTGCTTCTGATTGCAGGCGCGGGCCCTGTCAGTGGACGTCATGCCTGCGCGCTCTAAGAAGCAGCCTTCTCCTGAGAAGCCTTCCCTCCTCCTCCTAACCCCCCTGTGCGCGCCGCCGGTCCGCCCAGATCTGAGAGTTCCGAGGGTGGCGTCGCCCCGCATCGTCGGACCGATCACCAGACCCACCAGGCCACGGAAGCTCTGCCCCGAGCCCTCGCAGCTCTGCCCCCCCTCGGGTGGGGCAGGTCCCGCGAAGTCCAGAGAGGACAGCATCTGTGATCCCGGGTCGAGGGTTCAGAGCCCCCCCCCCAGATGGGATGGGGGACGGCGACGGCGACGGCGACGACGACGACGACGGACGACGACGGACGACGACGGACGACGACGACGACGACGACGACGACGACGACGACGGACGACGACGACGACGACGGACGACGACGACGGACGACGGACCACCCCCACACCCGCAGGGGGGGGAGGGGCGGCGGCTCGCGCAGGCCTCGCGAAGGCTCCGCGGGGGCCTCCGCGAAGGCTCCGCGGGCGTGCCCCTCCCAGCGGGGGGTGGGTGGGGGGGGGCGATGCCATTGGCATGAGGTCGGGCCTGTCCCCCTTGCAGGAGGATGTTCGACGAGAAATAAAACATACCCCCAAAATGCACCAAAAAGGCAAAAAATACTCAAGACATAGTCCCCCGACTATTTTCTGATTATTTTGTGATTTTTTTTGGGAATATTTGTTGTATTTTTCGTCAAAAGTCCCCGTGTAGGGGGACAGGCCCGACTTAACATTGGCATTGGGTCGGGCCTGTCCCTCTGCAGAAATAGTCTGGGGACAATTTTTCTGGATTGTCTTTTGACCATGTCGGAGCATTTTTTGGGTGTTGATATTTTTTCGTCGAAAATCCCCCTGTAGGGGGGACACGCCCGACTTAACATTAGCATTGGGGGGGGGCGGAGCCCTGGATCATTGGCAGCACCCCGCAGTTGCGGACACGAGTGAGAGGACGGGCGCGGGGTGGGTCGCGGGGTGGGCCGCGGGTGGGTCGCGAGATGGGTCGCGAGATGGGTCGCGGGTGGGTCGTGCGGTGGGTCGCGGGGCGGGTCGCGTGGTGGGTCGCGGGCGGGTTGCGGGCGAAGACGACGATGACGACAACAACAACACCAACAACAACAACACGACAACAACAGCAACAACAGCAACAAGAACAACAGCAGCAACAACAACAAAACAGCAGCACCACCACCAGCAGCAACAACATCAGCAACAGCAACAGCAACAGCAACAGCAACAGCAACAGCAACAGCAACAGCAACAGCAACAGCAACAGCAACAGCAACAGCAACAGCAACAGCAGCAACAGCAGCAGCAACAGTAACAGCAACAGCAACAGCAGCAGCAACAACACCATCAACAGCAGCATTAGCAACAGCAACAGCAACAGCAGCAGCAGCAGCAACAGCAGCAGCAACAGCAACAACACTAACAACAACAACAACGACGACGACGACAACAACACCAACACACCACCATCACCAACAACAACAACAACAACGACAACGACGCAACAACACTCCGCACTGCAGAACTCCACGTAAGCTACGCGCCCAGGGACAATGAATGACCCACGCAGCGGGGCAAGTTGGCCAGTCGGCTCCAAGGCCATCGCAGTAGGGATCGGGATCGGTCAAACTATGCTCATCTGTCGTTCTCAGACATCTCGCGGCGTCCCGAATCGACCGAGAAACGTGCCCCCCAGATTTCCCAAACAGTGCTTGCACTTAAGGGTCTTACTTATGCGACTAAGGAACTGGATGGGCCCGGCGATGATTTCCCACGTGGTCGCCCGTGGTCGCCTCGTGGCCACTTCGTGCGCCACATAGAACGATGACTCCCCCTTTTCTCCCCTGGGGTTAGCGGACCCCCCCCTGCACACTGCAGTTTACATTTGATAATTTGATTCTGCCCCATCGTTCATATCCTATGTGGGCTCGTACCATCCAAGGCAAGCCAGGTGTGACCCCCCCCGTCATCACCGTCAAATGATGGAGCTGTCTCCGGCAGCTCTGCCACCCTGCCGGGGCAGCCTGGGTGGCAACTATTCGAGAAGGTAAGAGGGCCTGCTGGGGGCCTCTCGTGGCAGAAGGCTCATTCTAGGTTGTGTTCCCGCTCTTGTGCCCGTCTTGGGGCCATCTTGGAGCCCTCTTGGGCAGTCGTGGTCGCCTCTTGGGCCGCCTTGGAGCTCTCTTGGAGGCCTCTTGAGCCATCTCGAGGGTGTCTGGGGTCTCGGGGGCCTCTCAGGCCGTCTTGGAGCGTCGGAAACTTGAAAAGGCGAGAACCCACAACACAAAAAAAAGGCTTTGGGAAATCAGTGGTTTTTGCTTCTCGGGGTCCTCTAGGGGGCCTCTTGGGGCCTCTGTTGGCCCTCTTGGGCAGAAGGCTCGAATTGTCGGTTCGTGTTCACACTTTAGGACCCATCTAAGGGCCGTGTTGGGGTCCACTTTGGCATTCTTGGGCGCCTCTTGGGTAGTATTGGAGCCCTCTTGGGCCATCAGAAGGCCCTCCTGGAGACCTCTTGGGCTGTCTTGGGGCAGTCCTGGAAGCCTCTTGGGTCGTCTTGGGACGTCGGGAGCTCGAAAAGGCGAGAACCCGTAACATATCCAAACACCTAGGGAACATCCATAGTTTTGGCTTATCGAAGCTCTCTTGGGTCTCTTCGGTCTGGCCCAGGCGGCTATGTGGCCGCCGTCGCCGCCCCGTCGCCTCCTCGACGCCGCCCGTCGTCTGGGCCGTGTCGTCGGTCTGGTGGCTATGTGGCCGCCGTCGCCCCGTTGCCGCCTCGTCGCTGCCCGTGCGCAGAAAATAGGGGGGGGCACATCGACTGCTCTGCATTGATGTCACAACATCGGTTGCACCACAGATATTGTACCACACTAGACTGCACAGCATATATTGCACTGCACACGTTTCGCTACATCGACTGCACCATATATTTATATATACACATAGATGTGTAATATATGTATATACATATATATATACACGTACATGTATACTGCACAACGTAGATTGCACAGCACATATTGCACCACACATATTGCATCATATACTTTGAACCACGCAGGATGCACAGCTGATCTTGCTCCCCGTAGACTCTCCTTTCTAAAAAGAGAATAGAATCTACCCCCCCGGAGTTATCGCTACCCCTTTCGGGAATGTAAATAACGTATGATTCTGACCACATGTCCATCCTAAACATGAAATCACAATGTCCCAGGCCAACCGGGTTCCCCCCCGTGAGGTACCCTTGAAACAAATATTCTGCGGTGACATTTTTTGTTATAACATAGC